GTTTCTGAAGATGGACATTAGACATTTTTTAAATAAAAAATACGGCAATTCTCAAGTGGTGGCTTTACACAACAACCCCAGAGCCACCACCTGAGCCAGGTGAACAAGGTATGTAAATGTCAGTAAACTTACAAGTTATGTCAACATGTAAGCAAAGCATAAATTATAGCTACGTTGACGTTACTTTGAATCGCGGGGGTAAGCTAAACCGTTAGCAAGTAGCTATAGCTAGCCAGATATATTAAATAAACACTTTGTCATAAAATCTAAATGTTGTGTTTTTTAGCGTTACCTGGTGATTTCAAAGAAAGCTCTCTGGGAAATGTTGACTTACTGTCAGTGTTCGACATGAAGCTACATGTAGAAGCTACCTTACATTACACAGTTGATCCTGAGTCCTGTCAGTTAAAGTGTTTCATAGTTAGCTTAGCTAAGCATCAACCTAGCACTGAAATATATGGATGTTATGTGACGGTATTTCTGAGGAAAAGTCAGCTGAAATGGTGGCATAGTTGCCACTGCTTTACGTGTCAACAGCATGTTTGAACGTATTTGCAGCAGTAAATGTGGCTGTTTGGCCACTGACGTTGCCATAACAACACCTGAATTTAAATGTGCAACCTCTTTTTGTGACAGATTTTTGCATGAAATTATAATTCTTCTGATTGATATTCCTATTGACAGCTAGTTTCTATGTGTACATTATGAGATGGACAGCCAGCTAACAAGCTTTCAGATCAAAGCTAATCCAGTGGGGCTCCTGAAAGGGGGCAAGGGACACTATGCTCCCAAATATTAAGCCTTGACCCCCATCTTAAAATTGATATGATCACAAAATGATCTGCATTGTCGGAGGCCTTTTTTCCTCATTATCATGTCAAATTGTACAGCTTTCCTTAGTTTTGAATGCAGAAAGAGGACTATATTAGAGTATCAAGTGAAAATGACTATATTAAAGTATGAAGTGAATATATTAAGTGAATTACTCAAACTGCATTTGTATAGGAATGATTATGTCCTATTGGCAGATAACTACTCTAACAGTGATATCTACAAGAGATGTACATTTAACTATTTTCAATTGGTTAGTATTACATTTTGTAAGAGTGTGGTGACACTCATTTTAATGAAGACACATTTGTGTATCTTGAAATTCATTTATTTGACAGAGCTGGAAACTGATTGACTTACATACTTGTTTGTGTTTACCTACACAGTCATCACAGATGAGCCAAACAGAGTAGAGGATGAAGAAAGGAGAACAGGAGAAAGGGACACACAAGAAGGAGATACAACAGACAAGAACAACAATGGAGACAACAATGAACAGGAACACCAGAACAGACAAGAGTCAATGAGTAACATGACTGATTTAGGGACTGCAGATACAGGGCCAAGGCAAGTGAGACATCACTGCTTTCCATCCAGCATGTTTGGCCAGCAAAAGAGATAATTTCAACCGCAAACAGCAAGTGATGAGGGATTATTATTTCCTCCTTCCATCCCTTTTTTCTGTTTAATCTGATTACTAACAACTTCTAATCATTTGACATAGTTTATGATTTAATTGGAAAATGAAGTGTTTTTAAATAATAAACCCGTTTCTGATTCTGATTCTTTGATTTTTGTTGACATATGGGTGTTGAGAGATGTATCCATATCTCTTAACGTTGCTCTCAAAGTGCACAAGATTGATGCTTTTAACTTCAACATTAAAAAAAATTCTTCCTGGGGGACCCCAGAGGAGGTGAGTTCCCTCAAAATAGCACTTTATCTCTGCTTATGTAACTCCGGTGTAGTGTCCCCTCGGCAACAGATCACTCAGAGCTGGTGATTACTTTCCTGCATTTCAATGGACAGCATAAAAGGACACGTGAGCTGGGTTCTGGTGCTCAGATTAGCTATTGATGATCACGTTGATAAATCATATAAAACCAATCACACAAAAAACATGTTGCTGTGACTGTGAGCATTAAACAATTAACATTAAACTAAACAAACACAACAGTACGTTATTGTCCTTATAAAATAAAAACATACATTTTGTCCACCGAGATAATACAGGCACCTTACCCTCAAGAAATCCTCACGTGCTATGAGAATCTCCCACAATGCATTGCCGTAACAAAGCTAATGCAGGCACACGTTTGTGACACCAGATGGCGCAATTGTGTATCTGTGTGTGGAGAGTCTTGCAGTAGAAAATGTGACTGTAGCGCCACCACTGTGGGCTAAGCCCCGAATGTTTCCAAGTCCAGGCAACGCCCCTGGTCTGCAGAGAGAATTTCGCCGCGATCTGTTATCAGCCTGCAGCCAGGGAGGAGAAATCAGCAGAGCTGCCTGCACTGAGTGTGTGTGTGAGGAAGTCGTGGATTGGTCAATTTGGACCAATCAGCGGGGGCTTAACGTAACAGCTCCGCGGACGTAGGCGGGATAGGTAAATTTGAGAAACCGGCTCGAGATACACTTTTTGTTATATTCCATGGAATGCTCTTAACATCCCGATAGCAATGAATATCTTAAGTGTTATGACAACAAATCCATCAAAAAATGTCATCTGTGGAAGCCGTAGTACTGTAAAAAGCACCAATCATTTTAACCGGTCCACAAATGTATCTCGTGCCCTGGTCATGTGCGCGTTCGTGTGTGTTGGAGGAGGGGCTCTGTAAGGAACAGAGACTGTATATATAAAAGCAGGGCCGCCCCTGGCCAACTTGGGGCCCCAAGCGACATTGTGAGATGAGGCCCCCCCCCAACCGACAGGAGTGAAAAAAAAACATTTTGGAAACAAAGTAGGCTACTTTGCAAATATAATTCCTGTTTATTATTATTATCAGCACTTTTTTATGCAGTGAGGTAAATGGTTGTGCATGTATGTCGTTCAGTATGCGTTTACAGGTAAATACGTCTGCATTTCCTGCCAAATACTAGCCTCAAAAAGATTAAAATATAATTAATGCAAATAAACTACTTCTACTAATAATAATAATCATAATCATAATCAATAATATAAATACTATATTATTTTATTATAATATAGTTGTAATATAGTCAAAACAAAACATGCTTATGACATGCTCAAAAACTGATATTTCTTAAATCTGTATTCAAATGTAGTTCCCTCTGTCAGCAATGTATCAACAACTACTCACACATTGCTATCAGTATTTCTCTGTGTTGTGGTTGACATGATGATGACTGTTAGGAGTTAAGGGGAGAGGCTGAGCATCACCATGAAATGTGCAAATTGAGATAAAAATGAATATAAGGGGGAAAAATGCTCCATGTTTTTTAGGCTGTAACCTTTAACTGTTATGTAAGCCAACTAGACAGACAGTTTATCACTCTTCCTCCTGTACATTAGCAGATAAAAGGCATAACATACTTGAAGAATGTTAAATAAAGAATGCTGGAAATAACTGCATCTCCATTAGCCTATATTCTATGCAGAGACTGCCTTCTTCATGTCGTGAATTGCAGCTGATGTTTTAATATGGCAATTGGCAATTTGACTTATACAACATTCGCAAGTTGTACATTTGACAATAACCCACCTTCGAGTGATGCTCTAGTTTCTTCAAGTTTTGTTTTTTTTCCCTCTAGCTTGCGCCGGACTGAAACTGTCTTTTCACCGACATCTCTTCACCTGCACTAGTGGCCGTATCAAAGCCGTGATTGGTCAGATGTCGATTCATTGCAACGGTGTCGGGTTACAGACGTGCTCCCCTTGTCACCTCTCACTCTCCCGTGTCAGCCGGGGGTGCGCGGAGAACTGAGCGGAGAACTGCGCACAGCAGCTGAGGCCCTCTGGGCGGGGCCCCCTGCGCAAGGCGGGGCCCCATGCAGCCTGCGTGATTGGCCTGTAGGGAGGGGCGGCCCTGTATAAAAGGACATAAAAACATAAAAATCGGACATAAAAGGTGAGGAAGTAGCAGATTTTTTCCGGTTGTGTATGTATTTTCAAATTCTTGCGCACTCGAGCTGGTTTCTCCAAGATTACCTACCCCACCTTTAACCACCACACACTCTCTATGTAGGTCTAATGTTGCATTGCCTGTGAATTCCAACAAAGAATGAAGAAAGTACATGAACACTATTTATGCCTTTTATTATGTATTTATTTATTAGATGGGACCCTATAACTTATTTATTATATTGCATTTTATTGGTGTTATAATTGTGTTTACATTTTAAAATGTTTAAGAATAATTTACATTATCGCCAATTATATTCAGCACAAAATATTAATATAAATTCTTTTTAATAGTTATCAAATCAACACTGTTATCTGACAGAGATGGAAAAAGTACTCATATGGTTAATTTAATGATAAGAATATATCCGACAAACATATTAATAATAACAGGGATGGAAAGTCACTAAGTATAAGTATATAACATAAACTGTAATCCACTTCAATTCTGATTATCTTGAATCTTTCTTGAGAACTCAATTTTGAGTAAACTATTCATACTACACTACAAATCTATCAAAGATCAATATCATACTTTAATCCCTCCGCATTTAGAATTAATAACTACCTATTACTTATTCAGATTACGATGTTTCATACATAATTCAGATTTTCATACACATGTTTTGATGTCATTAGTGTAATATCCATGCAGAATGCTTCATGCAATGTCAAATTTATGTTTGATTTAATTTGACATCAGTTGCTTTGTTCGAAGAGCACAAAACATTATATTCTTGGCAAAAACGCATGTACTCACTTGGACCTCATCCTAAGGAAAGCGTTAGATACTGTACAAACAAGTTATTATAAGGTTTTTCATACGATATGCAGAATGTGGAGAAGAGATGTTGCTGTTTGCTGGGGGAGGGGGCCTCCAGTGTGTTAATCCGGCCATGTTTATACAGTATCAGTATGTGGGAGTGAGTGTTTTCAGTACACGTTCATAGGGAAGCAATATTGCAGAGTATGTTAAAGCTACATTTCATGTTGTGTTGTGTGCACTTTTAGAGACAGCAACCCAGAAGCCTTTCACCAGATTTATTCCAAGGAAGAAAAAAAAATCTCAAAATGTCATCCATTTGTCTTCTTGTCAAAAATGTCCTTGATCTTTACATCTGAAGAAAAATAAGACCACCAGCACTCAGAACAAAACAAATAATTAACAGATGACTGGATTTAGCTGTCCGTATAATCATGTATACATTTCAGATTAAATTGGGATATTATTTGTGGTAGATTATCATATGTATCATCTAAATACACATGTGGTTCTCTCCTCTTTCTAATAGTCAAAGTTTGGGGTTGTTCAAAATGGCATGAAAAAAAAGAGAACAGGACCACTTCAAATACATTAAAAAATTGAATTCTCCCATTGTAATAATGAAAGACAATCAAGTAACATTTCTTTTAAAACTTTGATATTTACAGCAATTCTATTTTTGCCACTTTTAACAATTATGTCACAGATTTGTATTACAATGACATTACTTCACAGGTTAGAGTCCTGCTGTTCTGTCATGATGGGAAAGATTGTGTTCATAATTTCTTGATAATGTATCAGAAGAAAAGTTTTATAGAAACACAGCCCTCGACTTCACACCAACATTAGAGAACAAAAATAACTGTAGGTATGCCTGTTTATATCTTTGCAGCTTGGCCAGGAAGTAGACAATGTTTGCTTGGCACAGTTAGCCCTGACTCTCTATGACAAACAAAGAGGGGACGGATACACACTCAGTATAGAAAACTGTCTCTGGTCCGGACACTCAAAAGCATTTTAGGATTACATTTGTCACAGGCATTTGGATTTCTTCTTATGGAAACATCATGAACTAACACTTAAATGCCTTTGAAAACTCAGAGCTAAAAATAATTTAACAAGAGGCATAGGTATTTACATAGGAATCTATGCAACGTCACAGAGGCAGACACTTTGTATTGCACATTAAAAAGGCAGGTACATATGAAACAGTGGTTTAAAAAGAATAAAAGTGGGATAACCACATGTGAGTAAGAGAGAGTCTACAAACACATCTGTACGCCCTTTGAGAAATGTATCGTAAAAAAAGACCAAGGCAGATCAAACCATTGCATTCAATCGCACTGATGCATATCCCAAAGTAAGTGTATAACACATAAATCAAACCTCTTTGCTTACCAATTAACCATCATCCCAAATGCAACCTCGTGAGACCCTTTGAAGGAAAAAAATATATTTATTAAAATCCTATGATAGCAATATTTTTGCTTTCATCTACCCTCACTTTCATTATGAACACTGGAGGTTTGCATCTGCATCATCATCAATACCAGCGTTTCTTCTTGATCTCCATTACCGCCAGTCCTCTCTCTTATCTGCTCACCCACTCATCCGTCCACTTCTTTGCTCTCTCATTCTCATCCCTCCACACACTGCCTACATGCAGTACTGTTTTCAGACGTTACTCTTTGTGTAACTATTGCGTGGTTGTTTTACCCCAACTCTGCAGCATTTCATATTTTAAATATTGTTAAGTAAAACTGAATATGGCATATTGTAACACAAAACCCCATGGCCCCCGTTCTATATGAGGCACAATCTGAGAACTTAACATTATTTGTATTTCTGGATGCAGCAATAGTGAACTGTTAATGCTTTCAGGACAGTCATTTCTGTGATGGCTACATCTCGAGTTCCTTCTTCTTAACTATTTTTTGGGTGCATTCATAACTGAAAATGCTGATGTGTCTGCCTAATAATTCACTGGTGGTGGTATATATAATTTTAAATAGAAAGAAGTGAACGTGACATCTGAGGTCTTCACACAGGTATTTCACAAATATACATCTTTTTGAGCATTGTGATCATTCATTCCCCACATTGATACTCAAACTATGTCTATAACAAATATACAACATACATATTAAACAGACTCTTTATTTCAATTTTCATATATTAAAAGCTCTAAGAAAGGCAGCAGAGATGCGCAATAAGGCAGATCCATATGACACACTGAATGACACACTCCATATAACACGCTCTACTCTGGCACATTTACACTAACAGATGAGATGGATCTTTTAAAGGGCTTCGGTTGCTCACTATCTAAAGTGGTTTATGAGGAAGTCAGTCAACTAAAAGTAAAATGAAGTGAGATCGGTGCGAGAAAATAGGAAGGATGGCAGAGGGTGGGAAGGATGACAGAGAAAAATTAAGTGTTTTAGGTCATGATCGACCTTTATTTGAGGTTTAGATGCATCCTTGATGCAGTGACATGCAGATTAATGCACAGGGAGTGTGTGTTTAACGTTTAATGCATGAAGTTGGTGTTATGGCCAGGGATCTGTGACTCTGTCATTGATCAGTGATTGTCAATTTGTCCGTTACATTTTCCCAAAATTGAGGACACATGAGGGTTATAACGCTCTGTGAGTAAATTAACTAAATCTCTGTCGTACAACATGGTGATGAATTAATTAAATATATTTTGAAGAGCTGAATACAAAAATCGTGTGTGATGGTATAAAAAATGGACTGCATTAATTTCTTAGCCATGGAGAAATCAACACTGACATAGAATAAAGGAATAATACATGAGGTGTCCATACAGCATGCATTCATAAGCATCAGGTGAGGGACTATGGCAGCTGCTTGTGTGTGAACAACGCTGAGCCATTGAAATCAAAATAAGCCATTATGAAACAGTTTACAGAAAGTATAGCACTTTATCTCACTGATACATGTTGAAGCAGTCTTTTCCATAAGAACTGTTTTTTGTCTGTTGTGTGTCGACACAGTATGCACATGTACATATGTTTGTCAGTGTGTGTGTGTTTTTACAATCTTAATCAGGACCAGTGCTCTATGAATGAACTTGTGACCTGTGTTTAAAAACTCATTTTTCCAGTAGAACTTCTGAAAAAGACAAAAGTCAACACCTTCTGCTTTCCTGAACCAGAGACACAAGCAACATGTGGCGTCTAATCACTGAACCGGCTCAGACGGATCTGCTCGTTTCAAATCACTCATCTGATTTAATTAGTTTGAAACTTGTTCTGTCCATTCTGCATGACCAGCTAAACATCTAGGTGATGGACAGCAGAGAGGTCCCTCCCTCTTGGGTCACTCCAAAGGTATCCTCGGCCTCTTACTGGACCACAGAGAACTTCAAGCTTCCCGCTGTCGTCACTGACCGCTCCCTCCTTCTTCTTCTTCCAGGCACCCATTGATGCAGTGGTCGTCGCTCCCGAAAGCGCCCTGGGACTGCAGCAGCTCGTACTCCTGGTCCAGGAAGTCTAGGCTGTTGTTGCTAGGCAACCCACGGACGGAGAACTTGTGGGACACTTTGGTCCACTGCTCTCGATTTGCCGCCACTCTCATGTACAGCTCAGTGGCCTCAGGAAACAGTTCAGAGAGGAGCCTGGAGGACAGAGGGCAGTGTTGGCGAGTAAAAATATGATTATTGATATACAACGAAGTGTGGTTTTAACGTAATTACTTTACAAGAAAATATCTTTATCACACCCGTGTTAAGAATTTGGCCATGTCTTTACAGTCCCAATACAATTGATTAATACTTTTATTAAAACTAAAACACCACTGTATTGTGATACACCTGTTATATATTGGAAAACAAGGAAACAGTTCAGAGAGGAGCCTGAATGACAGAGGGCATTGTTGGCATGTGAGTTAAAATAGGAGGCTTTGGTCTACTTTCTGAAGTTAGGTGTCCACGGGATATTTTAAACATCTTTAGCGTGCCAGGGCTAACTATTTTCCCAATTTTTGCCCCTTACAGTCCCAAATAAAATGTATTTAAACAACTTATACCTACTAATACAGCACTGTATATATTGTAGTGCAATGTGCACACTTTTACTTCATATTTTAATGTTTATATAAACATCTATTTTACTTTATTTTGCCTTTTATTGCACATTTAATTTGAACTTTTAATGATTGTACAACAAATAACTTTACTTTATTTGATCGTTTATCGCACATTTGTAAAAAAAAAATGAATTCAAAAAGTTTTATTCTATTTTTTGTATCTTATTTTATTTCATATTAAAATCAAGCACAGGTCATAAACCCAAGTACCTCGGGAAAACTAAGTATTTATTGTGGTCTTCCTGAGCAGCTGGCACCTTGTATTGCAGCCTCTGTACGAGTGTGTGAATGAGTGAACGCTGAATTGTATATGCCATGAGACATGAAAGAGCACTATATAAACGCAGTCCATTTAACGTCAATTCATATTCTGAAAAAGGTAAAAATGTAATTTATTACATCCAGCAAGAAGGTTTTGTTTTTGGTTTAGTTTCTTGGTTTTGCTGAAAGGTTGTAGCATTTGCCAATGAAGGAGCTCTTTACATTTTGGAGTGGATCCAAATGACGGGGTTATTTTGTAGGCTTTTCAAAGCTCTATGCTCTCAGACTGCCCTTCTAGTTTGTATTATCCTTTTTTGACTCACTGGCTGTAGACTAGTCTGCCTTTGGTTGCTTATTTCAAGTGGCAAAGACTGATCTTACTCTAATGTCTTGCATATCTTATTTCTAACAGTGATCTATAGTGTACAGCACGAATTAAGTTAAATCTGCATTATCCAATTTGTGGCTACTTTGGGGAAGTGCATTAGGTCCCACATAAAACAATGTCACTTATCAAGTCAATATGGCGAACATGTTACAAAACAAAGCAGACAGTGAGCGAAATTATCATTCATTTGGAGTCTCTGGCCGCCTGCCTGGCTGAATGTCAGAACAATATTCATTCTCTTTTCAGGTCTTTCTTGCTCCACAGGGAAATATCTGTCTTCATCAACACGTCGGTGTGTCAGCTGTTTGATTCTGACTGGGTGGCAAACAGTGAGTTTGTTTTTTCGAGAGCTGTAAAACTGTGGGGTCATAAAACCACAACAATGAGCTAAAGGAAGCTAGAATGGTCTGTGAAGCTCAGGGAGAATAGTGCTTTTTATCAGTGGGTTTTTCATTGATCAGTTGTACAGTAAATCATTATCATTATTTTGATTAGAGTAGCTTTAAATGATCAAAAACACATTTTCACTGAAGACAATCCAAATCCAGTTTAAAGTTATATATGTTCGTGTTGAAATGAGATTCATACTTTCAGTTATCTCCCTTTGTTCAATAATTTCAATGTTGGGACAAAGGTCAGTCCTTCCCCTGATACAAAGTAGTTTGAGATAAAAGGGTTCAGGGGAAGAGGTGGGATGTTATAGCACTTAGTACGTACTTGTAAATTGGCATGGCGATATGTTCCATGAAGCTTATCTGTAGTTCGGGGATGTATGCTTTCTCTCGGTCCATCATCTCACTGGGCCTGTTCCCCATGGCTTTTTCCTGCACACACAGACGAGTAATGAGCTCTCTAATGTATAAAACACCAAACACTTAAGATACTTATTAAATGATTTAACATTCAACAGGCCATGTACACTGGCACATACCAGATCTCCTTGAGAGAAGAACTCTTTGTAAATCAGCTCCTGTGAACACAAACAGAGAGACATCTGTTATTGTTAATACGGTTTCATATTCATGGTGACGTTGGTAAAGCTTAATTAAATATAGTTATGAATTGTCCCAGAATAAAGTAGCAAATATCAACTGGAATCCTCCATAATTATATATTTTAGGGACAGACCAATTTTCTGTTTACATGTTTGTTTTTAAAAATAAACACAAGTATTCAATATTTGATCCAAATATAACCTTAATTTGACTTTGCTGAATCATTTGTCATTTGTCATCATCACATTTAATTATTTTGTGAAATTGCGTTTTTGTTAATCCCCAAGCATTTTCTGGCCATTGAGAAAAGAAAGTACCAATTGAGACCAAAATAGACCAGAGCTTGTATTAAACAGAAATGTGCTTCCGTTTTGGGAGAAAGGATTATAGTGAATTTGCTGTACTGTAGGTGTTTGGAGATTTAGGGTTTAGGGTGTAGGATTTAGGACAAGGGTGAGGAGGGTTTTGCTACTGGAAAGGGGGCAGACCAAGATTAAGCATAATCCTAAAATGGAGTTTCACAGAATCGAGAATAAAGGGTACATAGACAGAGAGGTTGTTTCCAAAAATACAGCTAAGAATATCTGATCCTTATTGTCACATAAATGCATCAATTTACTGTGTAGTAATTGGGAAATGGAGAATGTAAGGAATGCACTGCTGAAAATAGGAGATGCAATAACATTATAGAGTAATATACAGCATGAGTAACAGTGACAGGATATACATGCTCTGAAACTGCATTACAGCAGTCCTTTCACTTCATTAAAACTTTTTTTGTATGAACTTGCAACAAACTGTTTGAAATGACAGGGCAATTTGCAAGTTGTGATACATTGATTACTAAATATTAATCATTGTTCACATTAAAAGGATGATTGAACTAAAACAATGACAATCTCTGGACTGAGACACATATACATGAGTGTACAAATGGCTGAATATTTGTAAAAGTGTTTAGCACAAAACACATACAAGGCTGTTCACAGGATAGGACCCAAACTCTGCCTTCTGATTCATATATTGTTTTCTTTTACATAAACAGGACTCTCTAAAGTTATGACGGATGGACGTATGCAAAAAATCTGTTTGTGTTAAAGTTCATCAACAACACACTCAGCTATATGTGCGGTTACATATGTCACATTATAATGTAAAATATAGACATTGGTGTAGACAGAGACTATAAACTGACAGCAATCTTGCGAGTGGTTTTCCAGCCCTTAGTTTGGTCTGACAGGTCACACGATGTCATCAAGAGGCACAGCAGCATGGAGCGGTGGTTGCGGTTTTTTGGATCGTATCCATCTGAAACACACACATGCAAAATAGTTACTCTATTTTATCGGCATTAACAGACATACATTTTAACTAGGCAAGGCGAGGCGAGGCGAGGCAATTTTATTTATATAGCACTTTTCAGCACGTGGCGATTCAAAGTGCTTTACAAAATAAAAACAAAAGACATTTAAGAACAAATATAGCATAAATACATTATTAAATGACATTTAAAAACAGGCATAAAAAGCAAAGATAATGAACTAAAATAAATAAATAAACACAGCAGGTACAGAATACATGACTAAAAGGCATACTGTAGTAACATGAAAGCTTTTGGAAGAACGTATGAAAGCCACTGGTAATAACTCTAGAGTTCATCACACCTCAGTAGGATTTAAGACATTTAACTGATTCATATTTATTTTTTCAAAACTCATTGCATTTTAATGTACTCAAAAATGTACCACATTGAATGTTAGGTCAAGGCAATTTGTGGATTTGGTAGGGAGAAATTATACTTCAATGGTATCTTAATACTGTATATTTCCATTCTGTGTTGGGTTAAACTATTTTACATCCATAATTGACAAGTGACACACTGTGGTGCAAGGCATTCAGTAAGTCATTTAGAAGCTTTTAATGTCCTTGAGTTACTTTAACAGCACACGATAATTCAACAGAAGAGACTTTCACTCAGGATAACTTATAATTGTTTGCATTCAGGCGTAGCAAACTGCTGGCCAGGAGGTTACAGCCAATTATTTTATGTAAGAGTGCAGTAAGCCAGGGCCTTTTCAAAAGGGTAAATAGTCCAATAAAAATATAGGATTACTAAGACTGTTAGTGATGAATGCTGCAAGTTTGACCCTCAGATCCAGGAAAAATACAACTGAAAAACTATGAGCCTTTTGTGTTGGGTCGACTAGGGAGCCAGCAGAGGAAATTGGTTTATAATGTCACAGTCCGTCTTGTTTTATTTGCGTCAAAATTGACATTGATTTACTTGTTTAATCCAAAAACGATTACAATTGTTGTTCTACTTGTTTGCTAACATGTATTTAATTGGCATTTTTTCACTAAAGAAATCAGCCCATATTTTTTGAGGAGAAATTGAAAAATCTTGGTTTGTTGTCACCAAAAATGTGAACAAAGCCTCCCTTTGCTTTTCATGGTTGTGAGTTTAAAGCAAAAGTAGAGATGTGTCTGTGCATACTGAACTACTGAGGCGTACCATCAGCCATCTTCTGCAAGTCCTTGAAAATGCGTAGGTGGTGAGCCAGGTCTGTAGCCAGAATGATGTCTCTGATCAAATCCAGCATTCGTGTATAATCCTAAAAAAACATCAACATGTACTTAAGCTTAAACATAGCTGGATAGCAGAATTAAGAACATGTTCATTATAATTAAGAGACATTTGTTAATTGCGAATGTCAGATTTGAATAGTTTACCTTCCTGTTGAACTTCTCAAAGATGTTGCAGCCGTGAGTGTTCAGGATGGCGATGGCCTGGGCAAAGTGATGTCTCTGTGAGGCACATAAAGCATGATGGGGAAAGTAAGTACATTTCAAATCGCTGCTTCTGAAGGAATGTTAAGTCAGGTTGCAATACAACAAGCAAAACCAGTTTACATGCCTCCCAGTGCCTCATCACTGCTGCATGGAAATCAAGTTTGAGTTTGGCCACTAGGTGTCGTATCAGCACAAAACAATATTAGTAGATCACACATACTGAAGTTCATCAACATGGAAGCAACAAACAAATATAGGACAATTCTACAAAGGTTAATTCTACATATTGCACAATTGAATGCGCTCATTAGAAGTGTGGTCATATTAAGTGTATTGTTGACTGCATTGTATTCAGAGGTGATTCTCATATTCTGATTTCCTCATTTGTGTAAATAGGAAGGACCAAAAAAACACCTCTCAACTTAATATATTCATGACCTTTCACAATACATTTGTATACAGGTACATCATGTTGTTTGAGCTCTGTTTCCAGTCAGCTCTCCCACATCCCTGTGATGTAACTGGTTGTGAGTTTACCTCCATCACAGATCCCTCTGAGCTGTAGAGAGCAGCCAGCACCGATTGCTGAAAATGGAAACAGACAGACAAATGAAACACTATCCTTTCAGTATACACATTATATTGATTCAAATGAAACAACATCATTTGATAACATCCTTTAACTCTACTTGTCAGCTTGAATATGAAAGATTGAAAAAGAAAAATCATAAAAGAAGCTGCTGAAACGATGACCTTTGTTGCATAATAAGAGCTGGTATGTGCGTCATTTAGGTGCTGGAGGGTTAAACATGATTACAGAGGAGCAGTGCGAAATGTTTTTATAACACAATGACATCTAGTATCTCACTGGGGCGAATTCACAGACTGAGAGACGCTGACGTCACGATGATCATTTGTTGATATTAAAAGCCTGAGCTTAAAACATTTACATTTGTAGTCGCCCTTTTTTATGTTGCAGGTAAAGTGATACTCTGCTACACTTCCTATTAAGGAGGTTCATTACCCCTTTCCATAATTTTCAACGCTTCATTGTAAGCCCTCTAAAAAGGCTAAAACATAATTTATGCTCTTACTGAGGCGACTTGGAAAGAATTGTTGGTGCCACGGTGATCCAAGTCATGGCACATACAGGACACAAAGAGAGCAAGAATCTCTATTTCCCTAAAAGAAAGAGAAGAGAGAAGGAGGGTTAACGATCAAAACAACTGCGTTTAGCTACTTCTGTAACCAAGCGTTTTACACCTACTCGAGGTAGTTGGATAGCCCTAGGTTTTTGTAGAGCAGGTAGCAGAAGTGTGAGACAGAGAAGGCGTGCATCCAGTTGTGGTAGGGGGGGTCCCTGTAGCCTTTCTTCACCATCAAACAGAACCTGACACCAAAGCAGGAGTTTTATTATCAAATACAACACAGCATGCCACATCTAGCACATGTAAACTCATTATTTTCCAGCTTCAAGGTTTGTTTTGGTTCTATTTAATACTTTCAATTTAAACAAATGTATAACTTTGCTGAAATGCTGAATCGCAGCACCAGGAAATGTTCCTACCTCCCAACGCAAGGAGCGATTTTGACTTGAAGTTAACAGTATATTAAAATAATTGGTACCACTTTACAATAAGACTACCCTTATAAATGATTCATAAAGGGTTTATAATTAGGTTATGAATTAGGTTGTAAACACTTTATTAATCATTAAGATCCATTTATAAACCAGTTCTAACATAGTTTTCATACGTCAACACAGGCTCACTATTTGGCAAGATGACTAAGCCTTATATTAGCTACTTAGCGAGAATCAACTCAGTGAGCAACAGATACCAAGGATGCTGGCTGATGAAGAAGACGAAGTAAGCTAAGTAGCCAATATAAGGCTTAGCAGTACAGATAGATGTGGGCTCACTATTTGGCAAGCAACCGGTCACAGTCACCCTGTTTATCTCATGTCTTATAAAAGCTTAGTAATGATTTTTAAAGTGTTCACAATCTAATTAATAAATGAATTACAAACTATTCGTAAACCATTTATAAGGGTAGTACTTACTAGTAGTAGTAGTAGTAGTAGTATTACTTATTAGGTAGAGCTTCACTGTGATGAGACACTCCGTGTAATCACTCAGTACGAACTCCTAATTCTTACATCTTGTATGCTTCACTGCAATCGGGAGGATTACACCAATGATAATTAGAATACATCAAACCTAAAAGCACTTAACTTTAACAATCTAGAAAGAAGTTTGTGTGATATAATGATGGAAAAATAAGGACCTACAAAACAAAAACTGGAAGTATTCTTAATAAATAATGAGGTAAGATAACATTTGAAAGCAACTGGAGGACACACTCATACACACAACATCTTAAATTGTGTCAATGAATTGATGGAGTTGTCAGACCTGGCCAGAGTGTTCAGGTCAATCTTGTATGTGTTGATGAAACCCATGTCTTCAAACATGCTGAGGATGCCCTGCAGACACACACACAACAGGATCAGTCAAATGTTTCTGTTTCTTTGAGCTTCCTCCACTCTGTGTATCTAATCTCTCGTTGTCTCTCTTTTTTCTATCACATCTTCTCTGAACCTCTGTCTCTTACCAGCGGCGTGGTGTCATCAGGGAGTGAGCGAGGTGTGTACGTGAACTCGGCAAAGCACGGGTGGAACTCCAGCACGGGTTCAACCCCCGTCACCAGCAGCTTAGTAACCTCTTCCTCTGAAACCTGCAACATACACATACTGAATCATATTGGGTAAATAATACGGACAGTGTCAGTAAATAAAACACGCCTCTGAGCGAGAGTAAGTGAGATGCACAATAGTGATTTTACCTTCATATGGTACATCATCATCTCATTGGCCAGGTGGGACCTGAACTGAGCTTCATGGACTCTCTTGTAGAGCAGAGACTAAAGAAACAAACAATTTGATAATAAACCAACAGTTATGTCACATATTACAGGCTACTGTACGATGCACAGTTCAGATACAGCAAGCAAGAACTCTTCATTTTTCTCAATTTTGAAAAATAGCACTTGGTAGACTCGGTCTTTGGCATTCATAAGAGCATGATTTATACTTTGTCACTAGTTTTTCAAATATTTGTAAGAATATCTTCAGAAAATCAGCAGTCAAAGCGTTGTCTCCTGCTTATTACAGATCATCCAGCCGAACCTTTAGATACCGGTCACAGCATACTGTACACACCATTGATTAATAATATATATATTAACGAGCTGCCTTGAAGGCAATACGCTTTCATATGAAATATCTTTACAGTTTATAGATAAACCATTGAGTATCTGCAGTTATTCAGAGGACACTGCAAGAGCTGCTAAATATGAAGGTGGAACAGAAATGCTCATCACTGCTGTACTATGACTATCAGCTCTTCTTTTCCTACCATCCTTCTTTCCTTACTTCCTTTCCCCCTTCCTTCTTTCCTTCAGACTTCCTTCCCTCCTTCCTTTCTCTATCTATGGTCTCTTCTTTATCTCTATATTTAATGCAGTGCCTTTCTTTTGGCACATTATGTGAAATCAGATGTGAATCCTTTAAATTACTCAAATCAAGTGTGACTGCTTATCGGCATTCTTTAAAGGGAAGATAAATAAATCCAGTTGAATCATTTTTAATCAACATTTCCTCTATGTTCTGGTAAAAAATGCAGTAATGACAAATATGATGAAAAAGTTTTATCGGCAAACACGCTTAACAGCGAATGAAAGCATGTGTTTTAATCAAGATACTAAATATTGGATTATTGTGATACTTGCAAAGGATAAGAAATCAATTCAAACTTTAAAAAACGTATCATGACAGCCCATCTTCATCATCGTCTTCATGGGCTGCATACACCAGCGTCTGAATGTGTGTTAATGGGTTTGCAGCAGTCAGTGCCTCTGAACTACGCCATAGAAGCCACTCAGCTCCATCATAGACTGAATCTCTTAAGATTTCCCTGGAGGCTTTGCTCTGCTCTGCCTTGAATGAGCGTTTCGCTCCAACTGAACTGATCCCATTTTCCCATACAGGATTGATCTCTCTGACAGCACTAACAAAAGACCTATCACTCTTTTAAGGAGAAAGGGACTCTTAGTACACTAGTGTGAAAGCCTATTATTTATATATAGAAACTTTTCCTTAATTCCTCTCGCACAGTCACATTTAATTAATGGTTACTATTGGGATTACAATATTATACATTACATTGTTTTTGTGAGCTATTCATCAAAACCAAGCGGAGATAATGAGCTAGGATTGTTTACAATGAGTATGAAGAAGAATGTGTAACTTAGAAATGCTGCATTAATTCACTTTTAAATTGCTGAGATGATAAAAAAAAGTGATAGAAGCTGTCTTCCATGAACTCAGACATTTAGGTTGTTAATTCATATGTAAATGTGTAGTAGATGTACTCAATGCTTAATAAGCTTGCTTAACAGCATGACCTATCTGTTTCCTCATATAAAAAACAAGTGAAAGGCAGCTTATGACTTTAATGCAAACTATTTCATGCCTTGTCCATGACCTGATGTCGTTGCCTATTGAACAAGCTGGAGCAGTAAATGTAAAATGAATAGAGTGTCAGTTCTTTCAGCCGGAGAAGAGACGTACATGAGCGAGGCTGATACCACAGTAGATGGAGAAAGCCATGGCAAGGTCCTCGTCGAAGCGGTTGAACCATGGCCCGTTCATTTTATTCACCAACTCAGCGACTCCAATCACCTCTAAAAGATGAGGATTCAAAGAAAAGAGAAGAAGAGAGAAGTACAGATGAAGAGGAAAATAAAGGTGGGACGTACAGTGAGGTTGTGAATTGAGAGAGTTGATGAATAAGGCAAGGACGTCAAAAGTGCAGAACAGACGTTGAATAAAATAGAGCCACTAATTTAAATTGATTAGACACTGCAGCTGAACCCAATTGCACAAAATAAAAATCTGAATTGTACCTCTCAATCGGAACGTTTTCTATACAGAGACATATCACAGAGCATCTAAAGTCAATCTGCTTGGATACAGCAAGAAGTCGGGAGCACGAAAGTCTGGAGCGTGATCAAAGAGTTTTCTAGTTAGTTGCCTCTTCAGCACTTTAACATTTAGGAGCAAAGAAAGTTATGAAACAACTCTTTGTGCTATTCTGAGAGAGAGAGCCTTTGTGGAAATGTAGCATCGTTTTTTAAAAGGGAAAAAGGAAAAGGAGGAATGTATTGTAGAGGAGCAAATACTGAATCTGATACTTAGCAGCCTCACTCTTTCATTATTAGGGCTTAATTGGACTCCTCAGGGGTAACTGGGCAGATAACTCCAATTAAAGATAACAGATGTTGTAAAAGAACAGCAGAAAAAGATTTAGTTATGATGTACCGAGTTGCTTGAAAAGACTGTCCAAGAGTAGCGGAATGTTTTTTATATTGAACTTTTAACCTAGAATAATGACATTTTGGCAATTCAAAATGTTAACTACAACCTACCTACATATTTATGTCTTTTCTGATTATTTGGATAATTATGATTTGTTTGCATGTTTTCACTTATTTTCCTTGACATTTTGCGTTCCCAATTAATGGTATTGTTTAAATTAGTTTTCTTCTCATTAGCTCCAATTTGATGACAAAGTTTAGATAGAAAAAAATAATGCGTGACTTTTTTGTATGTTAGGTAGAAGAGTGTGTGTGTTTGTTTGTGTGTGTGTGTGTATAAGTCATTGTTGCTACCATTGCTCTCATCTTTGATGGGGAAGCAGAGGATGTTGCGAGTCTTGAAGCCTGTGCTGTCGTCCACACCGCGGTAGAAGAGAGGATGGGAGTATGCGTCCTTAATGTTCAAAATCTGACCTGTGGTCGCCACGTGACCGGCAATACCCTGATCTGCTGGAATGCGAAACTCATTCTGCACACACACACACACACACACACACACACACACACACACACACACACACACACACACACACACACACACACACACACACACACACACACACACACACACACACACACACACACACACACACACACACACACACACACACACACACACACACACACACACACACACACACACACACACACACACACACACACATACTGCTTATGTCATCAGGAGACACTTTGCTTCTTTTACACGATTGCTTTTAATTGATTGTTGACAGTACAGCCAGACAGGAAATGCTCAACAAAAGACCCTGACGACATCCTGCATTCCAGTCTGGATGGGGACCTTTGTTGAATGTCATTCCCTATTTCTCCGTTCCATCGCATCCTGTCTATCTTGACTGCCATCTCACTAATAAAGACATTATATCTCTCCTCTAAAAGGTCACAGGAAAGACACATGCACCTCTCTGTGTGTGTGCACATGTGTCTCACCTCCTCGTCACTGACCACGCCTCCGTCAAACACCTTAGCCACCAACTCATGACTGACTCGGTCCAGCAGGAACACAGAACAGCTGTAGAAACAGAAAGACAACAGACAGTTAGAGGTGGGACAGAGAATGAAGCAAAGTGGAGAAAATTAGAATGTTCTATCTTGTTTCATCTCAGGTCATTTTGTACTTTATTTAAATGCAGCAAGACGCTTAAGAACAAATTGCACAGATAGTCTTTTTAAATGGAGATGAAGACATTCACACACACACACACACACACACACACACACACACACACACACACACACACACACACACACACACACACACACACACACACACACACACACACACACACACACACACACACACACACACACACACACACACACACACACACACATTGAAGCATCCCTTTGAAGATGAATCAGAGGTCTTACATTTCGGCATCACTGAGGTTCCTGGCCTCCGCTACAATTTCCTGTAACAGCACTGACACATCATCTGAAAGGAGAGAGAGGGAGAGAGTGGGTGAGAGAGGAAACAAAAGGAAAGTGGAGGAAATTAAAGGAATAAAAGCAAAGCCCAGATAGACACAAACAGAGATCATACAGTGAGCAGCGGTACAAGATGATAAGAGCTTTTGTAATCAGCGGTTGGGTACAGTGAGAGGGCAATTTGCTGTACCGGTGGATCAATTATTTGCACCTGCAATCACGATGAATCCTCAATGACTTATTGTGCAGTTGGTGCTTACCGTTAGATAGAAATCGAAATGACTAAGTATAATTACAGGATAGAGAGGTGGAGCCATCACTTTCAATGCCCTTTTGATTTTATGGTTATGATAATGGGTGTAATCACCTTTTCGGTAGTGTCACATACAATTACATGCCCCATTCGCTTCACTGGGCGATCACTTAAATATGGGCTATTAAAGCAAATTATGCTACAACGTTCTTTCTTCACATACAGAGACTGGCAGAACTTACCCAAGTGTGTGAAGAGATTTTTGGCCACTTGTAAGAGTGCCTGGGTGAAGAAACAGGGGACACGGAACGCTCTTTAACTTCATGCATATTTATGGAGGCATATATAATGTGTGTATGGGTGAGTGTGTGTGTGGGCATGTGCAGTACCTGGCAGTCCACTTTGAGTTTCTGCTCTTTCTGGAAGGCCAAAGTTGAAGTGAGGACCGTTGAAGTGTAGCAGAAACAGTGCTGGATCGCATGCTCATCTGCCTCTGTGTGTCTGCGGCAGGGAACACACACACACACTTAGCTTGAATATTTACTTCAGGACGCAAAATAAATTTGATTTTCTTAATATAAATACTTTTTATGATCCCTTGTTTATATTAATATTAATTTATCTGACAGTGTAGAGACGGACTGGAAATGGGAGAGAAGAGGCTGCAATCGAACATTGCAATAATGTTGCATGAGTTGTAACCCCTCAGCTAGCAAGGTACCTTGTTATTAATACATATCTAAAGGTTTTCAACATGTGTAGCAGAAATGGTAAACTACTTTTTTTAATCTAGAAAAATTGTGATTATGGAGCGTTTTTCAAGCAAAAACTTTAATATTTAATTTGTTCTGGCTTCTTTAAAATGAGGCTGTGATGCCTTTTCAGTTTTATCTATTTATATATATCATATAAATGTGATATCTTTGGATGTTTTGTCATCTTGGGGTAAAAACAATACACGTTTCAGTACTAGCAGAAGCAAACTCTGGTTTCCTGTAAGTGCTGAATGGGACTGTGAGTCTTTAAATGAAATGACATGCAGGCAAATGAAGACTGATGAATGAAATGATCTGCAGTGATGTTGGTAATTTCCTGCAGTTATCTCCTTTTGCCTACAGAGGGCAGTAGTAGTATTGTGTGGATGTGCCGAGCAGTGTGTAGCTTGAGGGTTTATTATTTTACTCTTTCCCAGGAATCCTAGCGAGGGAGGCATGATTTAACCCGAGAAGGAAAAAAGGCCTGGGAAGCTCAATCTAAGGGCATTTAGGGTCACACTCTCAATACTTATCAGTCTCGTAAATCAAGCTGGAAAATTATTTTCTGTGGTACCAGTGGATATTACAACTTTTTTAGGAAAATGTGTGTGACCTGTTTGCTCTTGTGTGAAGCTGCCATGGGGTTGGCTGCAGTTTCTCAAAGGGCACAAACAAAACAAAACCCTGCCTCAGAAACAAATCCAACAGGCAATCGACATGGCCTTCTGAACATTTCTGCCAAATATCAACATCTACCTCAACTGGTGTTGGCCTTTTTCAAGTATTTTCTATTGTCATTATGCAACACAGGGTTGCACAACAGAATGCACCTCTAACCCTGTTAATCTATGTTATGAAAGAGAAACATGACAAAAGAAAACAAATACAGTAGTGCATCTCTGTAGAGCAGTTTTTGAATTAGCTTCAGAAGACATTTAAACAGCAGAAACACCAAAAATGTTAAATTCTCTGGGATGATATTATATTGTCAACATTTTCATTTTCAATCAGTTTTCACATTTGAGCACCAAGCAGCATTGGTTGTCTCTCTGTTATATAGCAAGTTCCAGTATACTGAATGTCCTGACATTTTTACACTCAGGGTGCGGGGTTATCATGAAAACATGTGACTCTGAAATTGCAAAAGGGTCTGATTCCTATATAACAGTTCACGTGTGTTTCCTAGGGCACCAGGCTGATTTAGGTTGCCAGGCTGAGACAAGTTACTCTGCATATAAATATGCAATCTATATAATGAGGGGATGTATGTTTGAGATAAATGTCTCGACTAAAATCTGTATGACTGCGTTCACAGCGAAGGATAAATGTATCACATTTTAGGCACAGTTGCCACCATAATCCTGCTGCTGTTACTATGGTAATGAGATGCCAGCTCTGTCATCAGTGCCACCGGCAGAGGGGGATATTATAGAACATGATCCCCTCTCATCTGTCTTAGTCGAGAGAGAGAGAGAAAGAGAGAGAGAGAGAGAGAGAGCATGGAAATAGGAGGGATTGACCTGTATTCGGGTGTGAGTAAGCCCCAGTGTGAGTGTGTGTATGATTGTGGGAAAAAGAAGATAAAATATATGAATTAATCAGAAATCAGCAGACATTTCTATAATTAGATAAGCAGAAATGTATGCAGCTTGACGTGGAGATGGTGACGTATGGATGCATGAATAGATGGACAGAATACATTGGCATACTATAAGCTGCTGTTAGATAAATCTTTGTGTCCACTATGAATCAGTGCTTCAGGAATTATGAAAATCCAAATAATCTTCTCCCTGACATCCCAGCATTTTGAATATACGTCAGCAATAAGCATCAGTTGATAAAGTACTGTAGTTTTAAAGGTTAGCCGGAGGAGCTTTACGCTATTATCCTAATAAACACATTTGAACACACTCTGCATGAAATGGTTCAATTTGATCCAATGATAACAGAATGTAATTAAGATGGCACTCGGGGAGCGGTGATTTCTGCCAAGGCCAATCCTTCTTTCAATTTTCAGTGCGTAACTTGGACGAACACAACGAAGATGTGTTGTATTTTAATACTCAGATCCTTTGATAGGTTGCATTGGCGTGTGGGGAACCATTTTTTTCTCCAATTATTCCAAAACCACATGAATGCCGCACAAATGCCTCTTATAGTCTTAACAAAAGGGGAAAGACAATTACTGTATCCCCCATTAATTCAGATCAACCAATGATGACATAACCTCCTTGGTGTAGGAGGTCATAGCTTACTGTGTGAACAGTTTGTCTTGCATACCTTTGCCCATTCTGCTTGTTGAAGGCGCACGCTAACGCCACCACCTGACCAGTCGCCCTGCTGACCACAGGGACACAAAGCATGGAGGAGATATCACAGCCCAACATGCTGGACAGCTGCCTCCGCTCCTCCTGAGAGAATGAGAGAGAACAATAAGGTTAATACAAAGGCGAAATGTGTGAATGGATAAGTAAGAAAGAAGGACAGAAAGGAAATGCTTCCTTACGGCACTGATGTCCTGAAGAGTGATAGACTTCTTCTTCTCGACAACCTGACCAAAGCGTCCAAACATCAGCTGGAGAGAGGAGAGAAAACGAGAGAGAGAGATAAAGGAAATGTGTGTAATGAGAGCCGGAGACAGAAAGAAACCAGGATTGCTCAGTGAGTCCCTGGAGATATAAATAAAGCTTGTTTATTCAGAGCGAAGTCTATTACCTCCCTTGTTAAAATAGCATAATTAACCCAACAAGGGTGTGTTTTCTCGTGTCCAGATATCTCTCTGCTCCAATGACTGTTGAGATTTCACACATCATTTAGCCGGAGTACATGCTTTTTTTCTGCACCATAGTGGAAAACCCTGTTCAAAATGCTTTGTCTGCACCACAACCAGGGAAAGGGGACTGTAAGCAACCAAAGAAGTGATTACTTGTGCAAATGTCTTAATTACAACCCCTGCCAGGGATTATAAAAGATTATATTTTTTAGGGGTGTCTTTCGTTGTCAGTCAAACAACCCAGGGTAACAACCATAGGTAACAACACAATGGCAACAACACTCCCTATGACACCATCTAATGGCCTCCATGGTTTAGAAACACAAGTGAATGATTATGCCACTTACTAATGCAGGCCTCATTTACTACACAGTGAACTAATTACACAAAATGATCAAAAAAGGCAAAAATGTAGGTAATGTGAAAAGAGGAAATTAATATATGTGAGTAATTCTTGTGTTTGTTTTCTCACCGGGAAGCTGATCTCCTCCTCCAGGACTTTGTCTCCAACAACCTAAAGGTCACAGAGGTCAAAGGTCACGGTTTAATTATCTGAGTCATCATTAATTTGGCAGAGGGCATTTATTTGTGTGCGTGTGTGTGTGTGTGTGTACCTGGCAGAAAAGCTGGTGGTTGTCCTCGGACACCAGTAGCAAACAAGAACACTGCGACTGAGTCTTCTCCTGGAGCTGAAGGAGAACACAAACATGAGTGCTGAAAGGGTGTATTATCTTATCTTAAATCTCAAACATTAAAACCTTGAATACATTTAGCTTTTATTTAAAGAATGCATTCAACTGGGAAATTAAAAATATTGCACATTTGTCCACGTTATTATATGTTATGCAAGTCACAGGGGGAACGTACGTCATCATACATTTGCTGAATCAGTTTTCACTGCATTTTGTTGCATATATGTTATGAAACTTTTTGGCAATTCATCGAGCTTTTTCTGTGTTTCTTTTTCAGAATGCATGCATAAAAAGAGGTGGATATCGGTCATAGATGTCTGTGAGGCTAAATGTAGAAGTGTGTGTGCGCTCAGTATCTCTGCTGCTGCTGTGCTCTGTAATGTCCGCAGATTTAAAACAAACTTCCTGCTGCTGTCTGTGATGAGAAACATTTCATTCATAGACTGAAAATCACTCATGATGACGCAAAATAATGCAGGTACATAAGCATCTACATGATCACACCCACACACACACCCAAAGTCACAAGAGCAGCGTTTCCTTATCATTCTTCTCCGTAATCCACAGAGCGGGATAGAGAACAAGCAAGAAAGACATATACGCCAGTCACTGCCAACACACTCGCCCCCGGCACACACACTAATGTGAACTAACACACAATCACAAACATAAACACAAAAGCAAGTTGCTGCACCCACATATAATAAACCCCTCCACCCTCTTCCTTCCCAAATACAGTTAATCCCATGAGAGTCGCCCCAAGCTCTTCCCAACAAACTGACAATTCCTCAGTGGCAACAATCTCACGCTTCCTTTCCTCCCTCCCTCTCCCTTTACCCCCCTTTACAAATGTAACAATAAACAGGCGAAACAAATCATGTCAGATCCAAAATACATTATAAAATCCCTGCAGTCTTTTGCACCACCAGAACCTCTCCCTCTCCCTTCCTTCAGATGCAGGAAAAATACTACAAATTCAGGTTTAGAGGCATCAAAGACTAACACTTTAAATGCAGGCGGCATGGCTGCTGCAGTGTTTTTCTGTCCCATGAATCCAGTCCTGCGGCGCCATGGTAGCAGGGAAGGTCAGGAAGGCGATAACTGTTTAGACTTTACCTTTCCACAGAAAAATACCTTCAATTTTCTTTTAAAGGAACACATTACTTTAAAACCATTTCAATCATTTCTCAACAGTTCTGACGTTACGATCACTGCAGTAAACAGCAAATGAGTTCCTCATATATATATATATATAAAATGACAACATAATGAGAAAAAAGCTGACAAAATAACTTCAAAAAATGCTGAAGTTGCTAATTGTATTTATACATTCTGATAAACATAATGTTCTAACATAATAACAATAATTCAAAAACTGCAATCTCAGAGCAAATACTTCAGATTACTATAATTTGGCCATATCATTGTTTACAGTCCGCAAGCAACGTCAGACGCAAGATTAAGTTGGAGTTGAGAGACAATGTCTACGACCTGATTGTATCACAAGACACCAGTTTACACTCAGTTAAGAGTATTTGTTATTTAAAACAAGTTAAAACGATCTGAGACGATAGCCAACGGGTTCAGAGATGCTCTTTTGCTCTTCACACGGACCATTTACCCACATTTAACCAAAATCAGTTCAAATGTTGCAATTAGATGTGCATATATTTTGAATACCTAAATCTAAAGAAATAGACCTTCTTGACATAACGTATAAACGAGGGCTGCAAGGGATGATTGCTTCCAGACTAATCAATTAATCATTTGGTCTTTAAAACATCTTTATATGGTCAATTAATCTGTAGTCAAAAATATCCTTTTCAAGTTGCATATTTTGACCAAAACCAAAAATATTAAGTTTTATAACACACAACACAAAGAAAAGAAGCAAATTCTCACTCAAACAAATGAATATAAAGCGCTTGATATTTGAAGTGGACATACATTTTTCTTAAGTCCTCCATGCTAAACAAGTAGTACACAAATGTTCACAAGAATATGAGTACAGCCAGTAAGGCTCTTTGAAGCCCAGTTAGAGAGTCTTTGTCCCTTTGGCGCAGTATAACTTTCAAATCCCTCTCTGCTATTCCTTCTCCATTTCATGTTTTCTTTATGAGTGAATAATTCCATACATTTAAATTGTTGCCAGGTTCCTACACACACTGTAGCTGATAGCTCCTTCTCCACCTTTCTATGGAGATGGGGCAATACTTTGGGGTACTGATGAAGCGATTGTGTAATACAAATCTTATGGTATAGGTAAATGACAAGATGAGGAGAAAAAGTGACTCGGACAGGTTTAATGTTTTGCATGTACTGTACGTCTCTAACTGTGTGTCAGTGTGTGTGCGTGAGGGAGCATATGAAAGATCTTGAGCACTTACATAATTGATGACTTTGAGCTGGAGCGAGGCTGCATCAAGGTCAAAGAGCTCACCTGAAAGTGGAAAGGGAGAAGAGAGAGATGGATGGGAGTACAAAAAAAAAGAGACACAAGGTCAGATAGGCGTTAAGGAAGACAGGGGGAATGCAGAGCATGTACGCGAGTGGACAGAAAGCAATCCGGGGAGGGATGCATTGAGACGGGGAGGTCGGGGAAGGGTGAAAGGAAACCAGCCAACAGAGGGACTAATAATGAAGACAAGACAGGAGATAGAGGGCTGCCCGGACTGCAGATTAATTCAGAAAGAAAGAGCTAGACAGGGAAGCAGGAAGGGGAGGCTGAGGGCTGAGGAAGGTAAAGACGACTTATATTTGTAGACAATTACCATGGAGTAAACAACATTGTGTATGTGCACAGGAACAACTTCCATTATGCATGAGATTGTAAACAGTGTTTTTGCCAAGCGTTCCGTTTTCACACAGGAGCTGTCAAACACGCTGCGTGCCAATGACGGATCCATCTAAATGCATAAAGCTTTCTATCCAGGCTTTCTCTATTAACATACTTCACCTCACACATACTGTACAAGTGTGTGTGTCTGTGTGTGTGTGTAATTGTGTGCCTCACAGATTAGTGTTTGAATATACAAGGCGCAGGAAATGTAAGATGCATGAGAGAAAGTGAATAAGGAGGTAATTTAATAGGCATTTATGTATGTTATTAACAATTTGTGTGTGTGCGTGCCTGTGTGTGTGTGCGTGTGCGTACCACAGAGTTGGAGAATGTTGCGGTCCAGTTCGCTGTAGTCTTGGTCTGAGACGTTGAGGTGCAGCAGTGCATTGTGGGACTGTAAGAGAGAGGGGCTGAGGGGAGGCTTCTGGTGGGACTTCTGAATGGCCTGGACTCGCGCACACGCCACTGAGGCCTGTGACATCATTCACAAATAAAGGAACACACGGAGAAAAGTGAGTAAAGGTCAAGAAACATTTCAGAGAGAAAATCATCGGACTAATACTGTTTGATTGTTAAATCTGGTAATCCAGATCATCTAACATGAATGGAAATGCCATTAAAGTAAAGATAACCACAACAAAATCAATACTGAGTCCGAATGCGATTGATTGTCATTGATGAAATAAGGTCTATTTTGACATTACCTCTTTTAAGAAAGGGACAAGGACTTCTCAAAACTCATAGCATCGGGGCTAATTATATAGTTATTTATTAAAAGAGAGTTTTGCAGCTTTTACATTCTGTAAGCAGTTCACTTCCTAAATGATGTCTTTGGTTTCATGACTTGCTTTTAATATAACCTTTAAAGGATGTGTCCAACACTTATTGGATAATCAACAGAGATTACACCTTGTCATAGGCTGTATGTTAACTCCTGATAAAGGCTTTATTACACACATCAAGTTAGCTACTGTTACCAAGGTGCTGTTGCACATTAGTGACCGCAGAGAGGAATAAAGAGAGCTTACGTGTTTCTCCAGCATGTTGAGATGCAGTTCATCCTGATCAGATAGTGGATTACAGCCCACCTGCAAAACACAGACGTTTCAGTATGAGCAGGACTCTTCATTTGAGTTCATCAAGACCACAAAAAATACATCTACAGCAGGGACGTGCACAGACATTTGGAGGGGCTATTGCTCTAAACTGGAAAAAGGGCCTCCCCCTGAAAAAAAACACAAGACCTTTTGAAAATTGTAACTTGTTTTTAATGTAAAATAAACCAAATGATTTTTACATCAACTAAATTGAACAGTAATTCACATCTCATAACAAATTAAGATAAGGCGACTACTTGCATTCGGTGACTTGATTTAAAAAATGTGTTGCGATCCATATCTCATTAAAATATCTAATGTTAGGAACTATTAAAGACAAAATGGGGACAATTCTGTTCTAATGTAGTTTGACCATTGTAACTGCTGAGCAGACATACTGATAAAATAGGGCCTCTAACTAATTACCTTAAATAAACTCACTAATGAATGAAACCAGTTCAATATGCATTATTCTTATTATTATCATTCATTACATTACATTACATTGCATTTAGCTGACGCTTTTATCCAAAGCGACTTACAATAAGTACATTCGACCAGGAAGACACAACCTTGAAGAAAACAGAATCATATAAGTACATCAGGTTTCATAGAGCCAAACATTTCAAGTGCTACTCAACTGGCTTTAGGTAAGCCAGTCCTTTATTAGTATAAAAGTGTTAGGATCTGTCTGTGTTGGTGTTTTTCTTGTCTTTTTCTATCTTTGGGTTTCCTGTTTTATTTTGTAAAGTGTTCAACCCCGTTTCCTGCCTGTTTGCTTTCTGTCTGTTTCCCTCCCCGATTACCCGATTGTGTTCACCTGGTACCTCTGTGTTTTCTCCTCCCTCCTCACCTGTCTCGTGTTTATGTGATTAGTCCTGGGTGTATTTAAGTTCTGGGTTTTCTGTCTCTCTTTGTCGGGTTGTCTTATGTATTGACGTGGTCTTCGGTGAGTGTCCTGTTCTGTCTGTACGTATATATAGCCTTGAAATAAAGGAACTATTTTTGTCACTTAAATCTGCATTTGGGTCCTGCTTCCTACACACACCGTAACAAAAAGTGCTTCGTTAATAGTTCTAACGCTCGAAGTGGAGTCGAAAGAGATGAGTTTTCAGTTTGCGCCGGAAGATGTGCAAGCTATCTGCCGTCCTGATGTCAATGGGGAGTTCATTCCACCATCTTGGAGCCAGGACAGCAAACCCACGTGTTTTCGCCGATGGGAACTTGGGTCCCCCTCGCAGCGAGGGCGCAACGAGTCGTTTGGCTGATGCAGAGCGTAGTGCACGCGCTGGGGTGTACGGTTTAACCATGTCCTGGATGTAGGAAGGGCCAGATCCATTCGCAGCATGGTAAGCAAGTACCAGTGTCTTGAAGTGGATTCTAGCAGTTACCGGAAGCCAGTAAAGGGAGTGGAGGAGCGGAGTGGTGTGGGAGAATTTAGGAAGGTTGAAGACCAGACGAGCCGCTGCATTCTGGATGAGCTGCAGAGGTCGGATGGCACATGCAGGTAGACCAGCCAGGAGGGAGTTGCAGTAGTCTAGGCGTGAGATGACGAGAGCCTGGACCAGAACCTGAGTCGCTTTCTGAGTCAGCTGGGGACGTATCTTCCTGATGTTGTAAAGCGTGTATCTGCAGCAACGGGTTTGTAGCAGCGATGTTTGCAGTGAAGGACAGGTTGTTATCTAGGGTCACACCCAGATTCCTTGCAGTCTGAGTCGGGGAAACAACTGAGGTGCCGATGTTGATTGTTAGGTCAAGAGTGGGACAATCTTTTCCCGGGAGGAAGAGCAGCTCAGTCTTGTCAAGGTTGAGCTTCAGGTGGTGAGCAGACATCCACTGAGAGATGTCAGCTAGACAAGCAGAGATGCGTGCGACGACCTGGGTCTCTGAGCGGGGGAAAGGACAGAATTAATTGGGTGTCGTCAGCGTAGCAGTGGTAAGAAAAACCATGCGGGCTAATGACTGATCCGAGCGAGTTTGTGTACAGGGAGAAGAGGAGGGGACCAAGAACAGAGCCCTGAGGGACCCCCGTAGTTAATTGACAAGGGTCGGACTCAGACCCTCTCCAAGTCACCCTGTAGGTACGGTCTTTCAGGTATGAGGTGAGGAGGGAAAGTGCAGAGCCTGAAACTCCAAGTTTTTGGAGAGTGCGAAGGAGGATCTGATGATTCACCGTGTCGAATGCAGCAGACAGGTCCAAAAGGATGATGACAGAGGAGAGGGATGCAGTTTTGGCAGTGTGCAGTTCCTCCGTGACAGCAATGAGAGCAGTTTCTGTGGAGTGACCTGCCTTGAAACCAGACTGGTGCGGATCCAGAAGGTTGTTCTGATTGAGATAACAGGAGAGTTGTTTAAAGACAGCGCGTTCAAGTGATTTAGACGGGAACGGGAGGAGAGAGACAGGCCTGTAGTTTATAACATCAGACGGGTTGAGAGTGGGTTTCTTTAGGAGAGGGTTTACTCTTGCCTCCTTGAGACTGTTTGGAAAGTGACCAGAAGTTAGAGAAGTGTTGATTCTCATTCTTTATGAGCGCAGTGACGGTCTAATTAATCTAATTACTTATTTATTTAGTATTCTATAACTTAATAACAGAGATGGTCAAACTAAAGTGGTAGAGACATGGCAGAAATCCTACAATGAAGCGGGACATTGAACTGTTCACCTGTGAGAGGGCGATCAAGAAAAGAGAGCGAGCGGCCCCGTTGAGGGAGTTTAAAGATGAGAAGACACAGAAAGACAGAAGCACAATAACAAGTAGGCCTACGCTATATTTAGGTGTTTTTTTTTGTAAATAACCGACGGTATCAAGAGGAAGTAAAGTCCCCTGGGTTTTCGCCTATACTCTAACTGCCATGATGAGACAACTCAAAATCAAATTTCCAAAATCCGACACTGAGGTGGTCTTAACGCACCGGCAGATGGCAGCGCTGACAAAGTGTGTTTCCCGCAGCGAGACGCTACAATACTAATTGTGGGCTTATCATGTTGATTCGGCCACAACAGAAAAAAGAAAAACAAACTCTCGCTCTCTCCAGAGGGGCAGGTCAGCCAAAAATGCCAAACGGGCCTTTGCCCGGGCAACATTAGCCCGTACCTGTGCACGTCCCTGATCTACAGTATGTGCTGCAAAAGTTAATATCCACTTTTCGTAAAGGAGGAGGTGATGACGTAAGCAGTAACGATTGCTTTTGTTACTTTGGTTTATTCAGTTATTGCATTGTATGCCCATGAATGCGAGGACTCACCAGTAAGACAGTGATGGCCTTGTCCCGCTCCTGGTTCAGGAGAGGAATGACAACGGCTAAAAAGAAGAAGAAATAAAAAAGCATTCATAAAACATCATTTATTGCTTCAGACAAAACCCATCCTTGGTCCTTTTATTGCCCTCCTTTCATTTTCTTTCCATGTGCCTAACTTGGTCTTAACCTTATATTATCTATTTCATGGAAAAAAACAACTCTAATGTCCTTGCATAATGTCTCTTAATATTTTTGCTTTCTTTTCTATCATTTGTTATTCTTAATGTAGAGCAGATAACAGCAGCAGTTCCTTATGGACAAAAAACATTTTATCTTGGACGTGGGAGTTGCAGACAATGTGGACAGTGTCAAACAGAATAATGTGTTTACCACATTTGTCCCAAAAACCTTTTCTTTCTGCACAATCATTAGAAGTTTCAATGTATTTATCGATCCACAGAGTGCAGAGCGGTCATGCTTGTGTACTTTGGGATGTCGCCGTGATTACATTCCTCCAGGTCATTCTCTAATTTCTGTTTTGAGATCAAAACAAGATATTTTCATTTGAAGAGGAATGTTCACTCTTTTAAATTTCACTCAATTCGAGCGCTTGCATTTTTTGTCATTAGCGACCTTTCATTGCTTTATTTTTTTTGCCCACACAACTCCATACCTAACCCTCTGCAATCATCATCTCTTGTTCACTACTTCTCCCTCTCTATAGTTTTTTCTCCCATACTCTCACAACCCTCTGTGCCTCCGCAGCCTTAAACACACACACACACACACACACACGCTGGTCCATTCGCCTGCCCGCAAGCACCATTCAAACCCTTGTCTACACCCTTCAACATACACACATGTTGGGATGACCACACACACCTCTTCTGTGCGCTGGTAGCGGTGCTGCGAGGCAGATTCTATATTTCTCTGGCAGTTCGGACAGAGGAAGGCCTGCACACTGACATCGTTTCAGCTGGTCCACGATAGTCCTAAGACAGAGAGACAGATGAGTATAGCTCATGTTTTGAGAAAGACAATTACCTCCAGCACATCAGTCAGAGAGGGAAACAGAGAGAGGCAGTCTGTCAGACACTGGGGAGACCAAGAGGAAGAGGGGATTTGAAAGACATCGGAGCAAATGGAAAACGAATAACCAGCATTACAAAAACAGACACATTATATTAATTGTCACGTACCGTAGAGCTATTATTCATTGTGAAATTATGTGAACTCAATACAGCATTTTTTTGTGTGTGTGTGTTGAAAGGGCCTGCCAGGTGTGATGATGGTGTGTGCATGTGTGATATTTAATACAGAGGGCAGCTCTCTAAAATATGAGAGATTTGTTTATTCAGGACTTAAGACTGCCAGATGAACTCAAATGCACAAAAAAAACACACACACATAAGGAAATGTCACTGCACACTTCAGTAAGCATACACAGACAGACATCACACATATGGAAAAACTGTTTCACTTATGCATTAAGGTCAATTCATGATCAATGTGCCTCCATAAGCCTGTCCTACAAAAAAACGACCATATAGGCCGATTGTTCATGCCCTTATTACGACCCAGAGACACGTTTTAAAGTGTATGTTGTTTCTTACACGACCACTAGAGGTGCTCTGGTCGTGTAAGAAACAACATGCTCCCGGCCCGTTCATTGCAAACGCTCCGGAGGGACGTTTATTCACAAATAACCCTCTCTGGAAAATCCTAAATTGTGGAATAGTTTGGCCATTAAAATGCTTTTTGATTCGATTTCTGGCGAGAAGTGTATATTGTACTCTTAGAATCCACGTCCAGTCGATGTGTAGGATCTATAGTTTGATAGATATTACGAAGATGATCTGAGGTCTTGCCAGGAGAACGTGTATGCAGCTTCCATGTAAAGTTAGCGTGGGTAAAAACAGTTTTTCCGTTCTCGAAGTTTTCATAATAAAACCGGATATACCGTGCTGCGAATGGATCTGGCCCTTCCTACATCCAGGACATGGTTAAACCGTACACCCCAGCGCGTGCACTACGCTCTGCATCAGCCAAACGACTCGTTGCGCCCTCGCTGCGAGGAGGACCCAAGTTCCCATCGGCGAAAACACGTGGGTTTGCTATCCTGGCTCCAAGATGGTGGAATGAGCTCCCCATTGACATCAGGACGGCAGATAGCTTGCACATCTTCCGGCGCAAACTGAAAACTCATCTCTTTCGACTCCACTTCGAGCGCTAGAACGATTAACGAAGCACTTTTATACCAATAAAGGACTGGATTACCTAAAGCCAGTTGAGTAGCACTTGAAATGTTTGGCTCTATGAAACCTGATGTACTTATATGATTCTGTTTTCTTCAAGGTTGTGTCTTCCTGGTCGAATGTACTTATTGTAAGTCGCTTTGGACAAAAGCGTCAGCTAAATGCAATGTAATGTAATGTAATATATTCCCCTCACTGTCAAATGATTACACACTACAGTGATATCTGCATTACTCATCCACTAAAAAACATCAGTTTATCCTTGTTAATTACACAATATTGATTGGTTTAAATTGTGTACAATGCTTTTGTGTTTTTAACCTTCGATTCAGAGAAACAAATAGTTTTTTCTGAGTTTAGACCTATGGTTTAGAGTACACTACAGTTTCCGAAGACACTACACTACCCAGAATCCCCAGCTATCGTTTGGGACTACAACATCCGCCTTGCTTTACAAACTCCGTGATTAGTCATCAAGCCCTGTGATTGGATGTTGGAGTGGCAGTGCGAACAGGTTAAGCTGAGCCTCAAGCAGCTCTATGAAATGGAATGGAACTACGGCAGACTTTCCAAAACTGAAATTGGACAGGTCCAGCCCCCGGGTCAAATTCAGGGAAGGTGATTGTCAAGTGCCAAAATAAACTATGCAATATATTGGATGTTAAGTACTTTGTCCGACTTCATATTTATCTGTGGATAACCCCAACGTTTTTTTCTTATTCAAAAGAAGACCTTAACTTAAAGTATTCTTTAATGTTTAAATAAAGCCTTATTAGTTTGTTTGTTTTGCACATCCTCCTGTTAATATCTTTGGACGTCCTGCGCTAAACAGTTTTATTGTAGAGATCACTACAGTATCTTCTTGATATTTTATATTCTATATTTCTATCATGCCTTCTACTTTCCCCCAATTGTGTATGTAGGCTACTCTTAATATTTAAATGTTTTCATCAAATAAAACGTATTCAATAACGTGCTTTAACCACTAGGCGGTGCGGGTTAACAAACCAGTGGTGTAGTTAATAAAACATCATTATATCAAACATAATATGACAATTAACTTTATTGTGAAATTAAAACAGAACAGTAAAGGAAAATACAGTTTCAGTCACTCGATTTGAAGCTTATGCATTGTACCATGAACCTGTATAGACCTGTAACAGTCAACTGCATGAGGAGTTGGAAAGGTAGTTCAGTAAATAATATCTTAAAAAACTACAAAAAAATCCCTTTCTATCAGCTGTGCACCGTTATGGTGTAAATATAACCTATCTACCAATTGGATCAAATATAAAAGTCAGCTAAATTAGAGTTGGTACTGTAAGGAGACGTATTGTGTGAAAATAAATGGAAAATGTTGTTTAATTGCTAATATATTTATGATCCACGTCACGTATTCAGTTTTGGCGGCATTTCTTACAGTTTGTCAAAAGGTCTTCTGATCAGGGCTCTATAAATAAATATCTACGGCAGATATGTAATATTTAATGCAGCCGAACCGTGTATTACAATGTCGTTATGTGATGACTTCCAAAGAGAAAAGCAAAAATACTCGGAATAAAGTATTATTTTATTTAAAATAAATGTTTTTCTGATTTCATATCGCATAAACTTGATATCCCGACATGCATTGCGGCTAAAACAATCGATGTTTTAGCCTATCAAAACCTCTGAAAAAAGAAAGGTGTCTCAGAATTGAAATAGAAAAACCTATGGTAAAAACACAAAAGCATTGTACACAATTTAAACCAATAAATGTCGTATAATTAACAAGGATAAACTGATGTTTTTTAGTGGATGAGTACTGCAGATATCACTGTTAAATCATTTGATCATTGGTTTTATTATGAAAACGTCGAGACCGGAAATACTGTTTTCAACCCGTAACTTTACATGGAGGCTGCCGCATACCTCAAATCATCTTCGTAATATCTATCAAACTATAGATCCTACATATCGACTGGACGTGGATTCTAAAAGTACAATATGCACTTCTCGCTAGAAATCTAATCAAAAAGCGTTTTAATGGCCAAACTATCCTACAATTTAGGATTTTACAGAGAGGGTTATTTGTGAATAAACGACCATTTGTAACGTTAGCATTCAACGGGAGCACTAGTGGGCGAAAACTTTAAAACGTAATTAAAATATAGGACGTATTAAGCGCTTGAACAAACAACACATTTGGTCGTAATAAGGGCCTTGAACAATCGGCCCATTTGGTCGTATGAGTTGGAGGACTTATTGGCCTCCATAGTAGTAAGCTGAACGCTGAACGCTGAATGCTGAACCCTGACACACACACACACACACACACACACACCACACACACACACACACACACACACCACACACACACACACACACACACACACACACACACACACCACACACACACACACACACACCACACACACACACACACACACACACACACACACCCACACACACACACACACAGCAGTCACTCCATTACAGTCTGAAATCCCTTCAAACCATTGCGGCCAAATCTCTGCATGGCGCAATGATTTTAAAGTGTCCATTTATTTCAGCTCACAGAAACAGCCCACTTAGTCAAAAATACATCTTCGTGGTTGCTCTGGTGCCGACCTTTTTGTAATGTCTTTGTTCCAAGCTGCTTTTCTGCATAACCATGAGACAAATGAATATCTGGTACAGCAAAGAGCAAAAATCCCAGCCTCGGGCGCTAGGATTGAGTTTTCTCTGTGCACATATGACAAACCTATTAGATATGTATGAGTGTGGTGTATGGAGATAGCTGTAAGGTCAACTAAAGCTTCACACATCTGCTAGAAGCAGTAAGCTGCAACAATAGCTCAAATGGAATAACATATAGGTCAAATCTGGCGTGGTGGGCGGTCTGTTTACAACATAAGTTGGCCCGTCAGATGCAGTAAATGTGGATGTGTGGGTGTTTATTTGGCACACACAATGAGCTAATGATTAATTGATCTGGTTATGCTAATGACTTTGAGTTATGCATGAACCTCCACTCCATTTGTCGTAATGCTAAAGCATCATTAAGGAACACTGTGCTCAAATGTTTTAGTGCAGTAAAGGTATTGCATTGTTGCTTTTTTCTATAAGGACAAAGAAGAGTTACAGATTCTAATATATTTAAATAAAGCTGTAACCATATCTGTATACATAAAATAATTTAACAGGTAATTATTGTGAATTATTTAGATGATATTATGATATATGTATTAAAAACATGGGTGGCCAATTTTTCCTTCTTCAAATATTAAATATATCCAATATCTATCTACAAATGTATAACTTGCATTCATGGAAAATGTGAATAGCCCTTTAACAAAACAGATGGAAAATAAACTAACTTGATATTGAAGATGTTTATGTTAGAAGTTTATTGTGCCAATGCATCTCTGTGTTCTGTATGTTTTAGACCTTGGACAGTGAGTTTTCCACTGCAATATTTTGAACAATAGATTGGCTGAGTAGCATCAGTTATCCTTTAAACAACCAATGGTTTTGAGGATAAACAACCATGGAAGCTGTTGTGGGCAAGCTTGATTGTTTGTGTGAGTGTTTTATGTGTGTGTGTGTGTGTGTGTGTGTCTGTGTGTGTGTGTGTGTGTGTGTGTATCTTTGCCAACAACAGGCTTGTATGTATTGAAAAATGGGCTGAAATTAGGCTTAAACCAAAGTGGCCTCCTCTCAGATGAGCTTACTGAATGTATCTTTGTGTTGTGTGTGTGTGTGTGTGTGGTATGTGTTGATAACAGGCTTATAAAACCAGGTGAATTGGAGGGGGAAAAAGTGACAAAAGTGCCCTGTAGCTCTTTTAATATCACCACTACCTTTAGCCTGCATGCAGCCACACAAATGTGTGTGTGTGTGCTCTGTGCTTGTTTCCTTGCGTGTTCCTGTCTGCATAAGCATGATTGAGTGTGAGCCCATGTTTGTGTGGTGATCAGGTGTTGAAAAAGGGTTCTTGTCTGACAACAGACATTTTTCATCTATTATGCAGTGTTGGTTTTTGCCGGAGCCTGGGCAGCGGGCACACACAACATTTGTTAGAGCTTCAGAGAGCACTTAAGAGAGGAGAGGATCGCTGCGTCTCACTGAGGAGCGGGTGCTGTCACCTCAGCTATTAGCCTTGCAACGCTTCCGCAGGGAGAGGGATTGAAGGTGAGAGAGAAAGAGGAGCAGCGGGGGGAGGAATGGGGGGGAGCAAAACACAGCCGGCTTAGTGCTTCATGGCTCTTTGGGGAAAAACTAGGCTCGGGAGTATGAAAGGGCAACCACAGACTGATGCAGGGAGGTGGGGTGGTGAGACAGCTGATGACAAAAGAGGGAGAGAGTCTGTCAGAGTGAAGGATATGAAATAAGAGGGGGTAAATGTGAAATATAAAGGGGAGCATTTCAATGAGAGAGCACTAGAATAGGGGGATTGGAAATAAATAAAGGGGCGGTAAAAAATGACCTTGTGTCTCCATGATGACACTCTCTCTGTGACACTCCTGAATCTGTTTTGATGATGTGATTTTGGGAGCGGCAGCTCATAATTATTCAGGTGACACCTGCTTTAACACAGAGAAAAGCAGCCGCCTCCGTTTCATCTCTCCCTTGTTTTATATGGGAGACATCCACAGTTTGCTGCTGCTGCACAAGCGAGCACAAACGTGCACACACACACACACACGAAGATAACACACCTGATCTTTCCCTCCTGTGGCAGTTCGTGTGGGGGGTCGTCAGATAGCAGCCTCGAGTATCCCTCAGGCAAATAGACACATACACACTCCTGGAATAAAACACACGCATTAACATGCACATTCTTTTGTAATATTAATCCGTTTTTTTCTTTCTTTAATGAGTGATGAGGTTTATCCATTTGCATCAAAGCCTGGGCCTCTGTTCCCTGGCCTTATGTCAGGGCTGAGGCTTTTAGCTCCGTTGCTCTGAATACTAAAAGGAGGCTTTAGTTTTTCAAGGTGATAAATCAGGAATGACGTCAAATATGTTGAGTAAATGTAGATGTAATGCGTAGATGCGTAGATTTAAATGCGTGTGTTTTGTGCAAATACCACCGTGCTGGGTAGCAGCTCCTGTATGCTGTCTCGGAGGGCCACTCGAAGCGAGCGTGCATCGACAACCGCCGCCAGCTGCAGCAAGGCATCCTGGGGAAGGACACAAACAGATGCCCTGATGTCTGTTTGCTTGTTTGTTTATGATCTCAATGTGAGCCTCCAAAAACCTGAGGCCTTGGGTTAGTTTCGTTTTTTTGTGGTTGCAAGGTTTATGTTACAACAGCTTTCCCTAGATATTTAGCTTTGCAGACCAAAAAGCTTCTAAAACAATATTTAGGACTGTGTCACACTGTGTAAAGCAAAGCAATATGCGCCTGTTGGAGGCACAAGGGAGGTACTTTGGAAATGAACTGAACACAAACATCGTCAGGGATTACTGGAGCTAGTTAAGCTCTTCATGACACTCAATGGATATTGCTTCATTTGGCACAGTGAAAAAAAAATCAAGCACTTGAGAAGAGGTAGTTGATTATTCATGAAAATGAAATGGTGTTTGGCGCTGCTACCGGCAACAATTGTCATGGTTCACAAATTACATCAAATATATTTACTTTCTTCTCATTGCTGTGTTCTTTAAAGATTGGACTGAAGCAATTGCAATAAAAGAGAGTGGTGGTTATCTTAATTACAGTCAGTACATCTGATCGATGGGATTCTGAGTCTGAATTTAACAAGATCTCTTTCTTTTTTGACTTAGATAAATTATCTTCCCACATTAAAATCGACACACAAATCCTGAACAGACACAAAGACTATAGCGGAAGAAAGTGACTCCTCTTGAAAAATAAAGACAAGATTATGCTTGAAACAAGCTAACAACCGCATAGCTGTTGAAATTGGCAACACTCGAAAATGGTACAAAAAACTGTCAGTCCAAGCAGCGAAAAGCAATGATGGAGATAGTAAAATGTCATTAAGTTATAGCAAGAAATAGTTGAGAGAGATGTTCAAATACCCGGCCAACTGCTATATCAAGTGGCCGTTCTTGTCCAATTTGTTAGTTTTAGAAGAAAAGGTTATAAAAAACGACTCTTCCAATTTTGAAGTTGGAAAGGTCTTTTAGATGCGATGTGACCATCAGACAAGCACTTTGTTTCCAGCATACTAATGCCTTAAAAGGGTCAATATAACTGCAAGGTGAGCGCAGTTTGTTATCCGGTCTTTCTGGTCCTCTGAAAGAAACTTTCTACTAATACAAATTTGGCTTTGGAAACAGCGTAGACAAACAAAATGAAGACGGTAGGGCTGATCTGAGATAAGCTTCTATCTTAAGGTCACGCAAGATTGACTTTTTTGCCTCAAAGATTTTCAATTTGACCTTCCACAAACATTAACAAGCAGGCATGGAGAGCAGCAGTGTCTCACAACTATGACTTTATTATGACTTTGTAAAATGCACATCAATATGACAGCTATAAAACACACACTATGAGAATATTTCCACTCTGTGAGCAGTCTACTTAAATCTCTACCCTAGTTCCAGTTATCACAAGGCATTATATTACATGTAAGCCGCAGTGTAAAAAGAGAATCTTAGTGGAACTTTAAAATCTGATCAAAGCCTGGAAAAACTCCAAATCACAGAGGCTTAAGGCGCTGCTGCGTTAAAACTGAATGTTGAATTGGAAAGATAGATTGATGGTGATGTGAAATATTGACTGTGACAGATAGAGCATCCTCTTCCAGTTGTGCTGACAAAGCTGTTAGTCTCACACTGAGGGGGTCCATCTGTCACCCTTTTTAATTTGAATTTGTATTCCTCTTTTGAACCACACCATTCCCCTTTTTCTCCTTCGTTTCTCAATCACGTCCAGTATTGTGATGTACAGTAAACATGGAAAGACAAGGGAATGGCGTTAGAGGACAGAGGAGTCTTAGTGGACAGGTGAGGGGGCGGTCAAGGAGTGGGTGAGGAGGAGAGAGAAAAAGGGAAGACGAAGAACGAGAGTGGAGAGTCTTGTCATGATGCCTGAGCAACTCAGTGTTGGTTATTACATATGATTAGCTATGATTAAATGGGATTAGCTTTGAATCACTCAATCAGCCTTCCAGAGTGCTGTTGTAATGAAGTTGGAGATCTGCCAGCCCTGTGGTGTGTGTGTATGTTTATACGTGTGGTTGTGAATGTGTGTGTGCGTGCGTGTATGTGTGTTGAGAGAGAGAGAGACATAATTTGGGAGTGTGATGCATCTTAATCTGAGATTTTGAAAGGCTTGTTCAATGTTTGAACAAAAGTTAGAACTGAACAGCGGACAAATAACGAACATCTCTGTCTCCCTGTCTTCTCCACCCCGCTGTGTCAAAAACTCAAAAGAGGATGAATGCTGAAACCTGCATCCTTATTGCGTTGTGTTTGTGTGTGGTGTGTGTGTTGTGAGTGTGTGTGGTGTGTGTGTGTGTGTGTGTGTAGCAAGCAATAACATGTATGCCTCGGTAAATGTCAAACTCTGTCTTATGACCTTTCACAATCATGTATTGCCATAAACCTTCAAACCATCTGTTGAATTAATTTACCTGCCTCTCTACCCATCATTACACACTCACACGCACGCACGCACGCACGCGCACACAACACCACACACACACCACACACACACACACACACACACACACACACCACACACACACACACACACACACACACACACACACACACACACACACACACACACACACACACACACACACCACACACACACACACACACACACACACACACACACACACACACACGCACACTTTAGTTGCAGCTTTAATTGGACAGCCCCCTATTTTGTCTAAATGAAATCCCACTTTAACTTGATTAAATTGCATTTTTTCTTTGCTGTAACCTCTTAGAAATGATTTTGGGGAACTGAAAAGTAAAGCTTTGTCTTTTTTAATTAAACAAGGTACTTTAGAGCTCAATAGGGGTCACCAAACCTCCCTAGCATAATAATTAACAAGAGCACAATGTAATCCTTAAATTAATTCAAAGCTGAAGCCTGACAGCCTCTAGATTTTGAATGGAAATAGCAACATGGTTTCAACAAGCATGTGTTTTCTCTAATGCTTTTTCAATGTATGTGTATTTGGGTAAAGCTTTTATCTAAATTAAGTTGAGAATACCACAACAGGTTACATTTATAATACGGGGGAAGTCAAATCCCAGCCTAACAATAACGATGGATGGAGAACAAAAACAGCATTAAACATTACATTACATTGCATTTAGCTGACGCTTTTATCCAAAGCGACTTACAATAAGTGCGTTCGTCCAACAAAATACAACTTGAAGAAAACAGAATCATAAAAGTACATCAGGTTTCATAGAGCAAAAACATTTCAAGTGCTACTCAACTGGCTTTAGGTAAGCCAGTCCTTTATTAGTATAAAAGTGCTTCGTTAATAGTTCTATCGCTCGAAGTGGAGTCGAAAGAGATGAGTTTTCAGTTTGCGCCGGAAGATGTGCAAGCTATCTGCCGTCCTGATGTAAACACAATGTGCAGGGCCATAATGATGATGGTGTATATTTATTAAATGTGATGTTTAATATTTGAAGTACTCTACTAGATCTGATATCCATTCTACTCATTGAAGTAATGTAATTTTGTAACAGCAATACACTGATCTGAAGGACCTGAATGAAAACAGTAGGAATAACAACAATAAACTAAAGTCACGCTACTACTACTTTGATTTGTGTCTTCCTCTTTTTAACCATTTCATCACATCTCACCTGTCTCATTAAGTCCCTGCATTCAGTCGGCCTGAACACCTACGTTTGACGTTTCTCCTGCTTTCTTCAGGTTTTAGTCTTTGCTCTTATCTTTATCTGCAGCATTACTAATCATTCGGAGCAGACTGACATTTTGAAGGACACCTGCGGTCAGCATAAATAAACACACAGTCCTCCCTCTCCGTTGTCTTATCAGACATCGTCTCAGGACAAAAGGCGAGCACATTCTCCTTAGGCGCTCTGTCTATCGTTGATATTTTGTACATCCACACTGCTCATACAAAGGTTCATGAGACTTTCTCCATCTCCATTACTCACAAGGTCTCTTTCCCTGTGAATCTGATCCTTATCTCTGGGATGGTGAACATTTCTCACAAAGACCCTAATAAAGTCCAACTAAACAAAATGTCTAAGGTAATCACGATTGTAGTCCCATACTAATGAATACGTCATCTACTGGCCGCCCAACAGATTGGCCTATTACTCAAACCTGCAGCCACAATAACATCCTCCAATTTGGTTGTATAAATATCTATTGTCTGTCTAGCGAAGCCTTACTAATAACTGATTTATTTCTTCATCACAATCTGGATATGATTGGTTTGTGCGAAACAGGACTGAATCTTCCTTATCGGACTATACCAACTCAATTTAACCTACAACATTGATAGTAAGCTCTTAGGTTGAAATAATCTCCATCAGGTATAAATTGCTTTGTCGGTTTAAAAAGATTTTTCCACCTTGTGGTACTATAAAACCTGGTCCCAAATCTGAAATAGTCCATTGATCCAACTATTGAAGATCTCACTTTTAATTTTTTAATTTTTATATACTGTACAATGCAATGCTGTATATTCTGATAAAAAAATACCCAGGAGTTTGCCGCTTGAATTTCTTACATTTTAAAGTTAAATTCATCAATGGTTTACTTTGACACCAGATACATTGAGAAAATAAAAAATAAGCAAAAGAATGAGCAATAGAAACCCCACAAGTTGAGACATTGAATGGCTCTTTGGTGGGTCTACCTATACTCCAGGTCATTAATGGGAAACACTGGGTTATCCATAGAAAATGATCATCAAGTGACTATAAAAGTAATAACGGTACATGTTTGAGTACAAAAGCCAATGTACATCATTCTTTATCCTTTTCAGCCTGCTTGTGACTGGAAATGGATCTTGTGCTTGCTTTTAATTTCCACCTCTGTGCTTCCATTTTGACACAGCAGATCTAGACTCTGGCTTTGCTCTCGCATGGTTAACGTCTTTTTTAAAATCTTTTTGCCTATAGCTCAGTTAGTTGCTTTGATCACTTCAGGTCTTTCACAGGTTATCGGTACAATTATCGTTCTAGCGGGATGACCTCAGTC